TCAGATTCAGTGAGCTACATACAGCCGGTTCATCAACTTCATATATAAATGAGAAACATACTGTAAAAATTAGACACTTTTTAAGACGAAAGACAGTTTTACCTCTTGATAAGGGGCACACATACACAGACTCTCTCTCATAGACTTTTTGAGCTCTACATGAACAATTTACATAAGAAAGCATTTCTTTAGATGTTGCATTAGGGAATAACCCACAGTTCATAGTATTGTGACATTTAACACTTACAGTGGAAGCCCGTCAGTGTAAACAAAATTAAGTTTAGACCTAGACCTGATGCTATTTTGACAAAAACTAGTAAATTCATTATTTTACAATTACCACTTGTGTACTCTGTCAGGCAGTTAAACTACTCATTTTTGCCAAGTGTCTTGGCCTTGAAGTAAATAAAGAGAGTAAAATAAAAAGTCCCAAATCCACAATTGTACATTGGTTTGGTGTCATCAAGGTAACATGATAAGTGCTGTACAATTACTGTTCATACCATTTCAAGAACCTACCAAGTGATGGCAACTAAGTCCATAAGGGTACAGGACTTAGGCCTTAGTCGTGCTCTCTCCGTTTCTAGTGCTAATCTGCTGTTGAAATAGCTAATATTTAATAGAAATAACTGTCACACATTTTGATTTACGTCAAACTTAACATAATTTATTTCCTCAAGGTTTTGTTCAGACCACCCACACCCATGCAGTTCTTGTGTATTCTCAACTCAACTCAGGTTAAGGAAAAAAACAAGTCTTCCTACAACAAAGGATTGTCTGACCGGATTAATTTCCATTGTGTACCAACCTGTACCAGTTCAGTAAGGTTACACTTCCTTATCAAGTCATCAGCCAAATACCCTTTTGAAAAAACAAAATAACAAAGGGTGTCACATGTGGGTTTACTTCATGGAGCACGAATGAGTGTGTTTGTGTATCTTGTTTGTTGTATTTATTTCCTTATTTCCTTCTTTATTTATTTAGATTATCTACATTATTGAATTTGGTAAATGTCCCTAGCGATTTCATTTTTCATAGTAATGAAAGAGCTCCCACTGGATGTGTGCTAATATAATATCGCTGATAAAACAGCATTAGAAGCCTGTAATGTGCATTTGCCTGCTCCTCATAACAACATTGCTCCATGAAGAGATTTTTTAAAATAAGAACACCATATTTTAACACAAGCATGATATTCTAATGTTAATTCAGTTAAGAAAGAGGCGGTTCACAAGGAAGTATAATACATTTGAAACAGCAGTTGTGACACCAACAGGAATGAGGAAACAGTGAGTGTTTAAAACAGCATTCCTGTTCAATGTTGCCACATCATCACAACACAACACGACAACTTAAAGGTAGGGTCATGATGTGATATTCAGTGCAAAATAGACAAAATTAAGGTGACACTTATCAATGTGGGATACCAAGGTAACACTAAATTGATTTGAAGCAGTGGAGTTTTTTATAGGTGTTAATAGTAATAGCTGCATTCGTTTTATTGGATTTAAACAGATCTTTCTCTGGTGTCTGTTCATTTGTCTTTCTATCAGATGGCTTTTTTGCTTCTGCTGGTGATGCTGACAGCATGTGCTGCAATTCCTCAAGGTAAGGATAAAAAGGGTATTTCACAATAAAGTTACATGTTAATGTACAGTACACAGTTTGTTAGCATTTGCAAAAACTCTCAATTATTTAATTGCAACTGGGAAAAGCTAATCAAATGTATGTGTAAATTACTAATGTTGGTTACATCTTTTGTCTTTGTCATGACAACGGAAATGTTTTTTGTTTAAAAATCGATTTTATAAGGAGTACAGGACCTGCTCTGTATGAAATGTCTGTTGAAAATGTCTGTTTTATCATATTCCAGCAGGAGATTTATTTCTCTCATTCACAGACTTGACATCAAACCATGTGGTATTTACACTGTCAACAAGGAATGAATTATTCCGTTTGCAACAAGAAAATAACCCACCTTTAGATCTGTGCAAACAGAAAAGGAACTTTGTTAACCGTACATGTTAAGTTAGCTTTATCAAATCATCAGTGTTTTCTTATAAATTTTAAATGATGGCCACATGGGGAGCAGTGCTTTCACATATGCCATCAGATTTTAGGAACCAGTGGTTCAAATGCTACTCTATGTTCCCAATTTTATGTAAAATGGCTTTTCCAAAAGATACAGCTGGTTTCAGGGTTATTACCACATTTATACTTTTCTCAAACATATTTTTAAGGCAGCTAAATATTGGGCCGCCATGTGCTATGTGTATAATTAATTTGTTCATTGTATAATTTATATCAACATTTTGCATTTTTCTTGCTTTTTTGTAGATTTGTCTGGTAAAATGTTCACCTTCCCAGAGGAAACCAACACAGCAAATGTGAGACTGAAAACATCAACACAGGATTTCAGAGCTGTGACTGTCTGTCTCAGGTAGTGTTAAAAGCAAAAATTGCATGAAATAACCCACTATATCTCTGACTAAAAAAAACCTTATGTTTGATAATTTCTTTCTTTCGATGTCTACAGGTCCATTACAGACCTCAGCAGAGATCACAACCTTTTCTCTGTGGCCACACCATCCGCTCAAAATGCCTTCCTGATATTCAAGACCGCTTCAAGTGTGATTGATTTTTTTGTCAGCAATAAACAGGTACAATTTGGAGCAGAGGACTACAAGCTGAACATGTGGCACTCTATTTGTTCTACATGGGACTCTAAGACTGGACTGGTGCAGCTGTGGTTTGATGGAAAGTCCTCAATTAGGAAATTTGCTGGAGGATCAAACATTACTACACCCAGTGTTATCCTTGGACAGGTAAGTTTAATTGTTAAAAATTAGAGCATCCTGTTGATTAAAAAAAAGTTATGATTTATTTTTATGGCTATAAAGTATTTTAGATTTCAGAACAATAATTTTAGCTAATTGTAGCTCTGTGTAATCTCTACAGGAGCAGGATTCCTTCGGTGGGGGGTTTGATGTTAAGCAGTCTTTCGTTGGCATGATGTCTGATGTCCAAGTGGCTACTTTCAATGTGGAATGAGCGTACATGATGACAAACTCTCCCAGGACTGCGATCATTTGGAGGCGCTGGACTTCATCCCGGAAGATGCTGAAGACAGAAAAGCTTACGAAGTCACTCTCAATACTCACCCAAGGTTTTCTTTGATTATTGTTCATGCCCTGCTAGGCTTTAATCAGGGCTTGAAGGTTTTAGTGTCTTTGGAGGCAGTGGCTTTGTTCATATCTTGAAGTTATGAACAAAATAAACTACTGTATCTCACAACCTTAACAATTAACCTTATCTCTGATCATCATCTTCAATGCAATTGTCTATAACGGGAATGGTTCTCTCAGTATAGGCTACCTTTGAATATCTCTTACGTGATTTATGTTGGATCAGCCATGTCTGTCTGCTTTTATGTTTTTTTTGACAGTTCAATAAAAATTGTATGTTTTGCCCTGTAGTCCAGTTTCATGTTCATCATTCTGACTTTAAACATTTGATAATAAAAATCATGGGTGCCCGGGAAGTTTTGGGCCCCTTGACATGCCTTCATGCAACACATTTCTTATAATGTGAGTCCTCGCTTATCAAAACCCTATTTTTGTGCCCCTCACTTTTCTGGTTTTTATTCTATACTATGACTCCAAATCAATTCAGTTATTTCTCCAAATCATTTTTTACATCTTAAAATGGTCTCATTCATGAATGCTCAGTTTTACTTGTACTTTAAACAAACTAGATAAAAAACTTTAATAAATTCTGTAGCTGAATGACTGCCATATACTTAGTAAAGCTCATTATTGAAAATGTTTACAAATGATTCAAAGTTGCTCTTACAGATGCTATTTCACATCATTTAGGAAGCTTGAAGAAACCCTCTCACTGACCTTGCACGCATAACATAGTGGTTTGTCCTGATCTCTTTGATAGCAAGTGGCATATGGTGTTGTTCTGAGTGCACTACTGATTCCCAAAAATGTCAGATTCAGTGAGCTACATACAGCGGGTTTGAAATTGATCTGAGAGAAAACCGCATTTGAATTGAGGCGACCCCTGAATTTTAATTAGAGACTCTAATTTTGAATTGAGCAATCCCTGAATATGAATTCTTAGCTGCTCTGAATTTGAATTTAGAGATGTTGAATTTTAAGTACATAAAAAGTGATGAATTTCTTTAGGTGAACGGCTCAAAATTCAGCTTTCAAACTACTAAATTGCAATTTTCAATTAGCTATTCAGATTCAGCTTTTGTGGGCAATGCAATTATCTCAAGTTGGGGCAATATCAACCTTCAGCTCTACAATGATTCGAGCTTGCAAATTCAGTTTTCGTGCTGACTACAATATTCAGCCAAGTACTATTTGCCCCTGTAACAAGATGTAGAAGTTGAGAAGACCGCATTCAGGAAAACAATCAGTGGTTATTATGTTAGCGCTTTTATTCAAGCATCTGAGTGTACATTCCAGATTAATACCTGGGTGGGATTCTCATTAGAATGGTGAGTACATGATCTGTGTCTTTACCACACGCGATTCTCAGGCTGTTTAACTTTAATGCTCCTGAACAGAGATGAGCCTTCATGAGCTGGACACACATCGAATCCGCTATTAATGGGTTTTCATGGTAGGCCTGGTATTATGAAATTAAAACATGGGGTGGAAAGTGGTGGATATAAACCTAGCTTGTTTCACAGCTTTTCTTGTATGTTGCTACATCTTAATTCTTTCCCAGGGCCATACTAGGAGTACTCCTACGCTGTCATTCTATACAGTCAGCCACACCACACAACACCACAACGCACAACACACACGGACGCAGCCAACACACGACGAGCAGCAGGAAATAGGCTAAAAT